GCGAGTGATATCTAACTATGTACAGAGCCATCTATTGTCATTACTTCACAAATTAACTTAATATGATTCTCTAGTCAACATAACTAAACCGTAACTTTGAGCGAGTGATATCTAACTATGTACAGAGCCATCTATTGTCATTACTTCACAAATTAACTTAATATGATTCTCTAGTCAACATAACTAAACCGTAACTTTGATGTAGTTAGATATCACTCGTTAATTTGTGAAGTAATGACAATAGATGGCTCTGTACCTTAATATGATTCTCTAGTCAACATAACTAAACCGTAACTACAATTTGAGCGAGTGATATCTGACTGTGTACAGAGCCATCTATTGTCATTACTTCACAAATTAACTTAATATAAGACTGTACAGAGTCATCCAGTTGTGTTAATTCAACATAATTAGTTGACAAAGTAACTAATAAGACAAACAGATAAACGGAAAGACAGAGCATCAAGTATGTTATTGGACTATCTGGCTACGTCACAATCTGCGTATTCAACAAAACAAGGCTTAGTGTTACTTCTCTTGAGACATTCTTCACTAAACTTAGAGTACGTCCACTCGAAAAGTCAGTGATTCTGATTAGCTCGTGCAACACACTGGTAGGTTTTACAAAGAAATATACCTCTGATGATGACAGATGCTGTTGTACTAGCCATTAGCTCGTGCAACACACTGGTAGGTTTTACAAAGAAATATACCTCTGAAGATGACAGATGCTGTTGTACTAGCCATTAGCTCGTGCAACACACTGGTAGGTTTTACAAAGAAATATACCTCTGATGATGACAGATGCTGTTGTACTAGCCGAACCTGCCAAATTCTCCGCACGGCACGTGTAATTCCCAACGTCGTCTGTTGTAACGTGTCTTATCACGAGTAAACTGGCACGTTCATTTAAAGAAGTAGTCTGAATTTCTGCTCCCGTCAGTAAGGGGCGGCCATCTTTACTCCACGAGAATTCCACTGGTAGAGATCCTTTCTTAAGATGACACAAAACCTGAACAGTACCGTTCAGTTCGACGTCTTGTGGAACGTGGATGGGATGAAGTATCGGCGCTTCTAAAGATCAAATGTACAGTGATAAGTTAAATACAAGATTTGTGGGAAATACACCGACAATTTTCTAATGGGTTTTATCAAAACAGACGTACAATAAAATAAAAATAAACACTTATTTCACAATATTGAGTCTTATTACTGACATCCAACAAACACGTAATTCAATATTGTTTCATATCTTAAAATACAACTTACCACACAATGCTGATCCAACGACGAACCCCAATATTGTCACGCTTCTCATCCAACTGAATTTGGTCGCCATTTGTAGCAGTGTGTGACGTCACGAGGATACGTCTCTAATACAGAAACCGAAGCCTACTCTCCTTCTGTTACAACTTCACAATGTTAAACTGAGGCAAGAGGTTCCATAAAAACCTAAACAGATTATTAGAATAGTTTAATTATACCTCTCTATTCAAGAACTAAGGCGTCCATAAATATTTAGGCTTCACCCCACGAAGACTCGTCTTCACAAGTAGCCATCATGATAAGCTTGAACTGTAGGTTAATATGCAACTACAGCGCCATATAGCGGTAATTCTCTAATACATATAATAATAAAATTTTCAATGAAAAATACATTGCAAACACTATTGGCATCATCGCATTTTGGCACATTAGGGTAAAACGTTTTCCGGTGTTTTCAAACCAAAAAGATATATAAACGAGCAATTCCAACGTTAAGACCTTCAACAGGGCATACAGACCAGTAAATCCAACGTTAAGACCTTCAACAGGGCATACAGACCAGTAAATCCAACGTTAAGACCTTCAACAGGGCATACAGACCAGTAAATCCAACGTTAAGATCTTCAACAGGGCATACAGACCAGTAAATCCAACGTTAAGACCTTCAACAGGGCATACAGACCAGTAAATCCAACGTTAAGACCTTCAACAGGGCATACAGACCAGTAAATCCAACGATGTTAGAGGTCCTGGTGGTTATGGTGCTCGACTTGCAGGTCTCGAGTTCGAATCCAGTCATCAAACATGCTCATCCTTTCAGTCTTGTGGACGTTATAATGTGACCTTTAATTCCACTATTCGTTGATAAAAGGTACCCAAGAGCTGGTGTCGACTAGCTATCTTCCCTCTAGTATATCACTAGTAAATTAGGGACGGCTAGCCCATAAAGCCCTCGAGTAGCTTTGCGCGAAATTCAAAAACAAATAAACGAACTATGTGAGATTTATGTTTAAAAATAAAGGTACTGTATGTATAGCTAGAACACAACTGTTTACTATAATGTTACAGAATCTAGCATTCTCTGTGAAAACCTTTTCTCGTCATCTCACCTGTTACAAGCAAGTGGGAGGTAAAACTGTCTTCACCTTCCCTGTTTCTGACGTGTAGTTAGCAACATCACTAGCATCCAAGTGCTTTATCTCCTAGCAACATCACTAGCATCCAAGTGCTTTATCTCCTAGCAACATCACTAGCATCCAAGTGCTTTATCTCCTAGCAACATCACTAACATCCAAGTGCTTTATCTCCTAGCAACATCACTAACATCCAAGTGCTTTATCTCCTAGCAACATCACTAACATCCAAGTGCTTTATCTCCTAGCAACATCACTAACATCCAAGTGCTTTATCTCCTAGCTACATCACTAACATCCAAGTGCTTTATCTCCTAGCTACATCACTAACATCCAAGTCCAACACGACAAAACTCTCCTCTATCAGAAATCGTGTTTTGTCTGAACTTGAGTTCAATATGGACCCGTTTTTCTTCCACGTGAACCTGACGGGTAAGTACCCTTTCTGAAGACCGCAGGTCACACGAGCTTGGGCCCTTATTTCCGGATTATCCGGAAATGCAAACGGCTGGATCTGGAGATAATTTAAATTATACAATGAATCAGACTAGTGTTATTAAATACAAACAGAGATATAAGACAAAGTTATACAGTAGCATTGAAAACAAGGTTAACCAATCATTATCCACGTCTTCCAAAACACAATATTTAAAATAATTCTGATAGAAGAATCTATAATAACTTACCGTTTGATATGACCAGACGAAAAACGATGGTTAGTATAAAGGTCTATAATATCATTCCATGTTTTACCGCCATTTTATTACATGAAATGTGTCGTCAAACGGTACTTTGCGCCTGCGCGTCAACGTCCAATTGAAAATGTAGTCTTAACAAAGGCACTATTAAAGTTAAGAACCCATTTTAAATCCTCTCGCTCTTCGACTCCAGGGTATTTAAAAAATGAAGAAAACAATATAAATATGGAAAATTTGCACATACATAATTTCAAAAATTTTACAAAGCCATTAAATAAATTAATTAATATTACAAGTATGTCATCAAACACTGAACTGCATAGCGAACAACAGCGCCACATAGTGGTGAAACTAAAGAACTGAGATCTGACGTAAAGTTAGGAAAAGAAACGGAGCTAAATAAGAGAAAGCGAAATCAGGATATTCTAATAACTCCACCGACCTAGATAACTTGAAACCAACAGAAAATACAAAAATTATATTATATTTAACACGTGATTTACGAAAACAAAATTAAAATAAACTAATTCAATTTAAATCAGGAGTTTATTGACTTCCAATTTCTTACTAATAATAATATACAGATACTCTACACAACTCATCTTTGGTAGCTATGGGCAACAACAACTGACAAACAGAATACGTTTATATGAAAACCCGTGAGCTGACGTCACAAACCTGAAGCAACGAGATTCGCTGTGAAACTATCTGTCCCAATGCGATTGGTCGCTGAGCATGTATAGTTTCCGATGTCTTCTGGAGAGACGCTGTGGATCATTACGTAGCTTGACACGTCATTCCACGAGCCTATTTCTATTCTTTCTCCATCTTGGATCGTCTGGCCGTCTTTAGTCCAGGAGAACGAAACAGGTACACTTCCCTTGTTTAAGTTACAAACCATCTGGACTCTTCCGCCCAAGTCCACTTTCTGTGGAAAGCCAAACGAATGAAGCTTTGGAACTCCCCCTGTAGGAGAAATTAGACAACCTTTGATACGGGTATATACATCCTATGCTGTGGTGCCTGAAACTTGTGACACAAAGAAATTTCATACAAGAGTACAATCAAAACAGTCTCCTGGTGTCACAAATAAACCCTAGGTGCGCCCTCATGGCCAATCACTCCCAAACCTTATATTTACCACTGGAATTCTGGGATATCCATTGGTAAAAATAGAACGATTAGGGTATTATAATTGTAATCGTAAACTAGCCTTATTCGAAATATTTCAGTTAAATAAAGAAGATAACTTCTAAAGTTAGAGAAGTATTTTATTTAAAACTGTAATTTTTACTCACCTTCAGACAATGCAGTAAGTTGTATTACTGTTAATAGCACATCAGCCATTACACAGCGTAATAATCGCTCCATGTTTGACGCCATTGGTCCAAGAAGTTGCTTCGTTGTTAGACAATGTGAGGTAAGCCTAACTATTTCGAACGCCGTAAGAAGTATAAATATTTCGAAATGCGCACACAAATTAAAGAAATCGTGATTCTAACTAATATAAATGAGATATTAATTATATCTTCTTTACAAATTTGGCGAGTGATCCGTCACATACATCCTCCCGACTTGGTTATGCGCTAATGTAGCAACTCCAGCGCCCCGTAGCGACAATCTTGAATCAAGTTTTTAACACGTTTCGATCTATTTATTTTCACATTCGTGTTATTTTACAAATTTTGATAGTTTGTCAAAATATTACTGCTCGACTAGTCATTCCAGGTATATATAATATATTATCATAATTGAATGTATGTTTTCATCAATACTGCTCGACTAGTCATTCCAGGTATATATAATATATTAACATAATTGAAAGTATGTTTTCATCAATTCTAAATACTTTTATGGTCACATCTGATTGGTTAACCCTTTAATACTAGTTGTTGAAACGTTTTTACTTTTCTTCCTTGCTTTATTTTAGTATAACACAGGATGATCCAAATTAAAAGGGTATACCGAAACACCTGGATCCAGAGTTTTTAGCGAAACTTGAACATCATTCAATGTTGTCGTTCATTTCTCTATAATTATTGAATATGCCATTTTGGTATTTTAGTATAACACGTGAACAACTATGTGACGTCACTTTCGATATTGTAACAGGTTACGTTGTAGAATGTTCTGGTATAATAAAGTCTTGGTGGTGTTTGGGCTATTATGTGGTTTCTCTCAGTTCTAAACAAAACGGTTTTAACCAGTTATTGTCATCACACTCGTACTTCAATTTAGTTAGAGTTCTGTTAAACATTATTTGTTATACATAATTAGTAGTCTGTTATGGATCTCTTGATAAGACATTTAGATTTGGTTAATTTGACATTTTTTATTTAAGTTATGATTATCGGACCCTCTAGAATTTTGGACTGTACATGTATAGTTCCCCATATTCAAAGCAGACACGCTGTCAATGATAAGAAAACTCGAATGTTCATTGAACATCCCAGTTTTGATTCTGTCCGTAGTGCTGATTGGCTGGTCATCCTTTGTCCAGGTGAACTTTACAGGAAGATCTCCTTTGTTCAAGCTGCACACAACCTGTACACGTCTTCCAAGTTCGACATCTTTTGGAAAGTCAAAGGAGAAGAGAGTGGGTGGCTCTGAAGGAAGATATGATTTTAAATAAACCATGTAACAAGAACCAAGATCTAACAATAAAGATGTTTAGAAGACTACACTGACAACAGACAGACGACTTCTCAAGTGGAAACTCACAGTGTTAGTGTTGAAAACAGATCATTTCCATACCTGGCTTTGTGTGTAACTACGTTAATTGCCAAATTTATTAAAAACAAGTACGTCACAATTCGGCTTATCGCTATCAGTTATATAATTTAGGCTTAGAGATCCATGTAAAACGAGAGAGAGAAAAACGCATCTTTAAAAATATTCACATATATAATATATATTACATAATTATATTACTGTACTTTAAATACATAAACATATAGTTTTAAAAATAAAGTGAGAAAAAGAGAATCTTACCTGGAGATAACGCCGAGGAGTTGGAAGTTAACAAAACCCAGCTAATGATACAAAAGAATTTAGGCGCCATATCTTTACGCCTTTCTTGACGTCATAAACCGAATATGGTGAATTTTTACACAAGATTATGTCTCACACGGTAGGACCTGTTTCCGGTTTCTTATACCACTTTGTGGTTTCCAAAAAACTAACAGACAAATTTTCTCCTCCGACTTTCGAAGCCTAAAGAATTACTTGATCTGTGGAGCAATGTTTTATGTATACGAATGGTCTTCCCTTCATCGGCCTCACGACATTACATTCTCTCCTGCAAATACAGCGCCACGTGGTGGTTATTTTAATTATGACATAATATCAGAAAAAATATCGAAACCACAGAATTATAATCAAGATTTCTGAAACTGGTTAGAAAGAAGAAGAACCGATGTAAATGAAGATATCGAGAAATCTTGAACCAAATCATCGCAGATGTGAATGAAGATATCGAGAAGTTTTTAACCAAATCATCGTTTTCTTTCACACCAAACAGACACGAGGGAAGCACACCGGTTACAGTAACAGATGTAAATGAATATATCGAGAAGCCTTTAACCAATTCATCGTTTTCTTTCACAACAAACAGACACACCGGTTACAGTAAGGAATTACGTGTTCTTTACGAATTCAAGCTGGTCAAACACCCTAAAACCAAGTACTGTATTATTGTGCATTATTACATTGTTTGTAATTCAGCACAAAGCTACACAATGGGCTATCTGTGCTCTGTCCACCACGGGTATCGAAACCCGGTTTCTAGCGTTGTAAGTCCGCAGACATGCCGCTGGGGGCCCATTATTACATACCTGGTGCTTATCTACTGCAAATCATGTTCAACTCCATCTGTAGAACAACTACAGATAGTAGGGGGGTAGTCACGTAGGGGGATACAGGGGGGATAGTCATGTAAAAATAAAAGACGAAATATAATAAGGATAAAACTTAGTGACTAATGTTGAAATCGTCTGTCAAAAATAGGAAAAAAGCAAAAAACAAACAATGGATGTTGATCTTAAGCCTAGAAAAATGGCCACTAGTTTTCAGTTCACGTGAGCTAATTGTGATACAGACATGAAACGAAAGTTCAGGAAAATTTACATAAAATGCAGATGGTTAACTTACCTGCTGGAATCGTCAAACATCGTCTTCTATGGTCATTGTTCGTGTCAACAAACACTGTTGACAGCGGTCGTGTGCGGTTGTTGTTCATGCCAAAACATAACTCTTCAGGATCAACCCCTATCAACAAACACTGTTGACAGCGGTCTTGTGCGGTTGTTGTTCATGCCAAAACATAACTCTTCAGGATCAACCCCATCAACAAACACTGTTGACAGCGGTCTTGTGCGGTCGTTGTTCATGCCAAAACATAACTCTTCAGGATCAACCCCAAGTATAGGAATCCATTTGTTATTAAGAAGTCAGTTTCATTCCAAATATAAGGTTAACAGATAAGCTATAAAGATAATTATTGAGTATTGGTTTTGGTTGTTTTGAATTTCGCGCCATCCGAGCTAGCCGGCCCTAATTTAGCGGTGATAGACTAGAGGGAAAGCAGTTAGTCAACACCACCAATCGCCAAAGCTTGGACTACTATTTTACCAACTAATAGTGGAATTGACCGTCATGTTAAAACACCCTTACGACTGTAAGGGCAAGCTTGTTCGGTGAGAGGGGTTCGAACTCGCGACCAGCAGATTGCGAGTCGAACGCTCTGTCCACCAGCAACGCTAGGCCATTTTGATTGTTGTTATGCACAACTGTACACAATGGGGTATCTGTGCTCTGTCTACTACGAGTATCGAAACCCAAATTTTATCGTTGTAAGCCTGCTGACTTACAGCCGAGGCATCAATATTTTTAACCTTTGAACTTCAGCGACTAATGTTTGAAATAGTCCTGTGAAAATAAACGAGCAATGTTGAAACAGAACAAGATCTTGAATTTAAAAATTACAGAAAAGAAACATTCAATAAAATTTACTTCCAGATACGAGTTTTAAAAAAGTTATACAGATTAACTCAGTCGGTGAAGTTATTATTTTATTAAATTTGTATTTCAAATCGAATATAAAACACGTAACAATGCAGACGGAAATGATTATAAAACGTTGTTACTCCATTCCATAGAAAACTCGGTGTTACGTTGTTACTCCATTCCGTAGAAAACTTGGTGTTACGTTGTTACTCCATTCCGTAGAAAACTTGGTGTTACGTTGTTACTCCATTCCGTAGAAAACTTGGTGTTACGTTGTTACTCCATTCCGTAGAAAACTTGGTGTTACGTT